GAAACTTAGACTTTTTGTTTTATACACTTCAGTAGAATAAGGAATGAAGGTCAAATTAAGGGTGATTTTTATTTTGTGCCTTTCTAAATTTTCACCGCCTACCCGGTCCGTCGCCCGCCCGGGCCCCGAAGCCGGAACCGCAGACCTTTGGACATCTCGGAGTTCTCCCCAACTCTGCCTCCGGGCGGGAAACTGAGGCAGAGAGCCGCCAGGCTCCGAGGCCGTTCGGGCTTGTCCGCATCTTGGCTCCCGCCAGTCCCCGCGAGGACAGCGGCAAGGGCCGGGGGGAGCGCCCTGGGCTCCCGCTGCAGGTACTGCTCCCCCTCCCCCCGCGCCGTCCAGCTGGTTCCCAACCGCGCCCTTTCTGAAGGTGCCCCGGGCATCTCTGGGGCGATCTTGGTGCAGAGAGTGAAAGCGAGCCCGCGGCGCAGTCTGGCTCCGGCCCAGCCCGCGGCACCCGCGGCGCCTTGACCTTGGGCGAGTCCTGGAGCGCTGGGGGCCCCGAGAGGCCGCTGGGCCTTGTAAAGCCTGTCTCCAGACCCCAGCCCTGGCCTCTCCGCCGGGGCGGGGGTAGGGGGCGGTTAGGTTCGGCCTCACCACCCAACCCCCAAGGGCAAACATGGGAGGACTCGCTCACAGTTAAGTGTACGTAAGATGTGAAAAGACCCTAAAAGTCAGAATCATGCCATTTAAATTTAAAAGACAATGACTCTATTGCCTTCCACTACCCTTAACCCACCCAGAGTAGCAACACTAAAACAGGGACACGGCCAGTGTGAGCTGAGGAGACAGGCATTCACTACTGCGAACTGCTACATCTTTTTTGGAAAGTACTTTGGCAGAATATCTATTAAAATTAAAAATATTCCCACTCCATGACCCCGAGACCCCACTTCCGCCTGTGGAAAGGGTGGCCTCTGCCGATAGGGACCTGTAGTTCGAAACACACACACAGATCAACGTGTGTATGACTGGGTGCCCATCGCTTGGTGCTGGCCCTGGGTGTGAGACCTGAGCCCAGTGTGGAGGATTATACAGCGATTTAAAGAGTGAATCGGAGCACCTATGGTTAATACCCATCAGACACTGCTTTAAGAATAAAGCAAGGGCCCTAGCCGGTGTGGCTCAGTGGATAGAGCGTCGGCCTGCGAACTGAAAGGTCCCAGGTTCCATTCGGGTGAACGGCACATGCCCAGGTTGTGGGCTCGATCCCCAGTAGGGGGCGGGCAGGAGGCAGCAGATCCATGATTCTCTCCTCATGGATGTTTCTCTCTCTCTCTCTTCCTTCCTCTCTGAAATCAATAAAAAAATATATTTAAAAAAAATAAAGCAAAAAAGGAGGAAGCCTTCATCTACGTGTGTATGTCACACCCCCTCCCACCCCCCAGGCCTTCACGGTGAGCTCTGCAGGCAGCGGGGGGAACACCATGCTGCTGGGAGAGACTGGCCCTGAGTGAGCGTCCATGCCAACAAACACCAGAGCGGGGGTGGGGGCAGAGCCAGGAGTCCCAGTGCCTGGGGACACACCGAAGCAGAGACCCACGGACAAGCACCAAGCAGTCCCTCCACCTCTGTGTGCGCATCAGAGGGCGCGGAGCCTCCTGGCTGCCCCCGCGGTGACCGCAGAGGGAACCCTGGCTCTTCCCTCTCACCTGGGCGCGCTCTGACCTGCTCCCACAAGCGCTTTTTGTGTTTGCCAGGCGGTGTTTTTAGGCTCATAAAACAAGCCGTTGTGCAAGAGCAAGCGGTGTGGGCTGGCTGGACAGCCGGGGTCCCTTAAGCCTGGGGTTCCTGCAGCCCCTTCCCCAGTTTCAGAAATATCTGCAGCTGCCTCCCCGCCTCCGGAGGCCTGATGGGCTCAGGTTCCTGTTTCTAGAAACCAGAGCTGCTGGCCCGCAAGGCTGACTTGGC